AATTCTCAGAAAAGCCTGGAGATGGGGCCACCAGCATGTACACACTATGCTGTCAGTTGTGAGGCTCTCTGTGCCTGTCAGCACTCACCTAGGGGTAAGCAGTGTGTGGCCCAAGACCCAGTCTGGCAGGGTGCTGTGGTCTGTGTGTATATGGGAGCCCAAGGAGTAATGTCAGGTCACACCTGGCCTGGCCCCTTTGGACCAAGGAGACACCTTGTGGCCACCAGGAGACCTGAAGCCTTTTAGGAAGGAGCCCAGGGCCCTAAGAGGACACCATTACCCTTGGGGTAGAGCTCATGGTTACTCTAAGCTTGAGTGCCTGGAATCCAGTGGAAAGACAGCCAGATCTCGCATATTTTTCCTAATCCTGAAGTTGGGGGAGAGCTGCCCTTGGAGGTGCTGGGCAGAGAGAGGACAGTAAGCAGGAGGACCCGATCCATCATCGTTGGTGAACAATGAGCCATCGCCACCCTAATTAAAGATGTAATTATAGCAAATACATTCTGGGCTGTCAGTGAATGACCGGTGGCAGGAAGGTACCTTGCAGCCCAGTCAGGAAATGATGCTCCCTAAACTCCCCATTCTGAGCTGGGGAACCCTCCCCTTAGCAGCCCCTAGCTGGTTATGGGGTACACTGATTCCTCCAAATAGGAAGGACTGAGATAGGGGCTGGGGCTTGACTGGAGAAACAAGGGTGGGGAGGAGGCTGCTCAGTGGGGTGAGCCTGGACTTGGATGTCTCAGGTGGGGGAGAACGGGAAGAAGTGGGTACCTCTGTGAGAGCATAATGGCAGGCACTAGGCTGCATTTTAAGGTACACCTGCTTGGAGTGAACTGAGCCCCTGGTAAGGTCCTGGAGGGCAGGTGCAAGGGCCAGGCCAAGGGGACTCAAACTGCAGAGCAGTGACCATAGCAAGGCTCTGGTAGGCCATATGGGCTTTTGGTTTGGCCCAGGCTTCAGGGACTAGGGTAGGGTGGAGTAGATTCTCTTGAAGGCTAATTTGTCCTTAGTGGAGGTTGGGGGATAGGGCAGGGTCTGGTCACTTGACAGAAGAGTTGGGCTCTTCTGGCCGATCTAGCTTCTACTGTTCTCTCCTTCAGCAGGGTAGGCCCTCACTCCACAGCTGCCACTTGGACCACACATATGGGCAGTGGTTATCCCAAAGAGTCCTGGGACTCAGGATACCTCTTTCTCTCCTAAGGATTCCAAGGCCTGGTTGCCCTGAAGCCCCACCCCCACTTACCCTCAGGGACTAGGCTACCCTGAGCACAGGGTCAGGTCACTCTGAGGCTAGCCTGCACTGTGACCACCCCAGGGTCAAGGCATGAAGGCCTACTCTAATGGAAAGTCAATGGGCTTGGCCTCTTGGCTCTGTCTGCTGTAGAGGTCCCTGGCCAAGTCCTTCAGAGTGTGTGGGCTGCCCCTGGGGGAAAATGGGCTGGGTAAGGAATGGTGGGAGCCCAGGCAGGCAGGCAGAAGGGAGGGAGGAAAGGACACTGACAGCAGAACAAATGCTTGTAATTTTATAACCAATCGCAGTGTATCCGTGGGGGGCCGTTTGAGACTCCACTCAGGACCAATCAGCCTGACAGAGCTATGAGTCTGCCTGAGTGAATGTGAGCAGCTCCCCCTGCAACACCACTTACTGCAATCTCATTACCAGCCCGGCCCAAGACTAGCCAGAGCTGAGAGGCCTCGAGGAACAGGGGGCAACAATGAGCAAGGAAAGTCAGGCCAGAAACAGGGTGGACCCAGAACCAGGAGGGGCAGGTTGTGTAGGCCTGGGAGATCCAGTGGCTCAGAGTGAGGTGGGAGGAGGCAGAGCCAGAAACATCATGTACCTACCAGGTGCTGAGCATTTGGGATTCTGACAGGGCACAAGCCCCTGCCCTCAAGGGGCTTGCAATCTGCTCAGGGCAGGTGGAAAGATTAGAGAGGGGTGGGTCCTGGGCCAAGTGGGGCAAGGAGGAGGCTGAAGGACAAGGAAGGAGATGGGCATTGGGCAAGGGGCTGGAAGGTAAGGGTAAGTACAAGAGGGAGGGGTAACAGAGAAACTTCTGGACTGCATGTAGAGCCTGGGCAGGGAGACACGCAGGGCACAGGGAAATGGCCACCCACTGGAAGGAGAGGAGAGCAGCTGGGGGAGGGCCCGGCTGGCCAGTGGTGGATATTAAAAAATGGCCTTGTTGGATATCTGGCTCTGGGGATAACTATGTGCCCATTAGTCTCTCTAATTGTCAAAAATCTAATTTAGTGTCTGAAGCCTGGGCTGGCCTTGGGTTAAATGGAGGGAGGCAGGCCTAGCCATAAATCCGCCTGCCCAGCCTAGGCCGGTGCTATTTCTGCAGTTAAGTGAGGGGGTGAGGAGGGCACAAGATGAGACAGGCAGGGCTCTGGAGGAAAGGTGTCCCTGGGTGATAATGCATACCAGCCCCCATGTGCTAGGTCATAACCAGTCCCTTCTCTTGCAGGAGGAAGGGCATTTGCCTGGGGCTCATTCGGACCACTTAGGGGGAAGCGCCTCAAATGTGACATGAGGTCAGGACTGGAAGAGTCTCTCAAGGATCTGCATGGCTGAGATTATAAAACTATCAGCCCCTTGTCCTCCTGGACATACCCAGGGTCTACGTGGGCTCTGCTCTTGCAAGGTGACTGGTAGGAAAGGCACATTTCCTACATAAAATCAGGAGCCTATGGGGAGGAAGGGGCCATGGAAACTCACACTAGGTGACTAAGTGATTGCTCTTCACCTAGCAATTCGCTGGGGATGGCCTCAGTGATGAGACCTTGTGACATTAACGTGAGACCCTTGGGGGTTAAGGGCCATTCCTTAGTGAGGAGCACTTCCCACTGGGATTCCCAGCCTCTCCTTCCCCAGGCCTAGAGAATCAGGAGATGCCTGGAGACCTGGACAACCCCTGAGGGCCAAGATGGTGTTGAGATTCTCAACTTGCTTGGCAATCTCACATCCCACTCCCCTCAGAGCTGCTAATTGAAAATAAGGGGTGTGGCAGGCACAGCGGGGAGAGTGTGGGAGACCAAGAGGCTTCTCTGAGAGGCTTTGCTTCCATGGGGGAGGAAAACAATTTCTCGGCAGCTCCATCTCACCAGGCACCCACCCAGCCTCTCCTGCTGCTAACAAAGTGTCTTTAATTAGCAGCCTAATAAAATGATTTTAATTGGCAAGAGCCAATCAGGAAGAAGAGAGGTCTCCTCCCCTTAGTCACTGCTGATGGTGGCACAGCTATAGGTTTAAAGGGGAGAGGGATTCTAGACCCAGCTTGGGTTAGGAGATAATGGCTATAGAGGTGAGTCTTCCCAGTGAATGCCTGATCCCCACCCTTCTTGGGGGAAGAGGTTTGACACTGGGTAAAGGTGAGGCCCACAAAACCTTAGGATCAGCCTCTGCTCAATTCTGTGCTCAGGGTTGGCGCCTGTGGCTCAAGGAGTAGGGTGCAGGCCCCATATACCAGAGGTGGTAAGTTCAAATCAGCCAAAAAAAACTGCAAAAAAAATTCTGTGCTCAGGAGCCCAGCTGGTTAGTTGGATGCTACAGCCTAGAGTGGTCTCTACTGACTCCTACCTCCCTGTTTGCTTCTCCAGGGCATTGTCTGTTAATACCTGGTGAGGAGAAGATTCAGTGTGGCCTTGGGCAATGTGAGTTCCTTTTCCTTCTCCTAAATTTCTGTATCTCCAACAGACTGGGTGTACCTGTTTCTTTCAAATTCTTCTAACTTGAGGGGGGATAGTTCTACATAGCAGCTCTCATGTTGACCACAGCCTAAGATGGCTCTAATGATCAGTGGAGTCCAGGTGAGACAGTGAGACACAGGGTGATGGACGATTACAACTAAAAGTCCATAGAATGGGTCAACTTTTTTTTTTTTTT